TAGTATCCTGGGTATGATGGAATCTGGTCTCCATAGAGGAGCAATCCATTTTAATTGCTTTCCTAATTTTGCTTTAAGTCTTTCTGGCCCTCGCATAGTCAAAACTTTAACATTAAATATTCAAACCTCTAGTGAATTTACAAATATGCTTGCTAGTTCCCAATATATTTGCTTTAATTTATCAAATTTATTATAAATGTATGAAGACTAATCTTAATGTTCATGCTTTAGTCAAAAGTCCAAAAGATAAAATCTTACTTATTCAAAGTAGTACTTCTGATGCTAATGTTGACGTCCCAAGACCCACAGTCTGCAGTGAAATAACTCTCTGTGAAAACTGGTTAATTGTAAATGAAAATTATTCTCACAAAATTCAACATGATATTAATGATTTAAATCATATTCAACAATATAGTGATGGTTTAGTCAAAATAAGTTTTAATCGTCTACGTTTACAATATGACTCACATTAATCTTCACGAAATAGTCAATCTTCTCAACTCAATGACAAAGATGAAATTTTTAGTACATCTTTATTTACTAGAAAAGATAGACATCTTTTAGAATCACAAAGTAAATTAAAAAGAATAGATACCTCCTCAACATCTCAGATTAGTAAACTTGTTTATTCAAAACAAACCCAAATTGTAATATCCCGATTTTCAAAGATCAATTAGGCGGAAATTAAATAACCCAAGCGTGAGGTTTTAGAAAAATACCTTCATTCTCACTTAATTAATTATAAAAATCTTTTTCATTAACCATTTTCTTTACTTTCCACAAGTCAATACAAAAAAAATACCATGAATGAAACCATACACCCACTCTCCGTGTATCTCAATTAATATAACATAATCATTACAAATGGAATGCCTCAAAGCTTCCAATAAAAGAGAAGACACTATTCTTTACAAAAAATAGCACTCAGCCAAATAAACAAATGAAGTATTACAATTCATCACTACATTACACTTATGAAATGGTAAAACCAACTATTTGATCTTCAAATCCGAAAAGCATTCCCTATACACATGTACGGGCAGGGGGTGAGCAAACCACTAGCTCACCAAACAATCTCATATTACCTAATTCCTTAAATTCAAATTTAATTAATTAACCATAACTAGTTAATTTAAATAAATTTACATGCTTCAATGTCAATAAGATATCCTTTTCAAAACGGATGTGATGCCAAAGTTTATAATACGAGTTATATGCATGTCTTTTCTTTAAAGCAGAAAACATGCGGTAAGTACACACACTGGGAACCTCTATCAAACATAATGTTTCACGGAAATTATAGTGATCCCGGTTTTCCCTTTTCGTATCTGTTGTTTTCCAGACTTTGGTTCCGTGATATTGGTGGTTGTATACCCTGTTGTCATCTTTTAAATCCATTTGTTTGAATTTTAGGATGTGTTGGGCTTGGTTGTTACAGGTTGGTAGAGCCTTGGCTCCCATTGATGTTGCCCAGTTTTTGAGTGGTCCGCTCGAGCGGGTCATTTTACGCTCGAGCGGGGTTTACACCCTTTCAGCATTTCGAGTCCCTGCAAAACTTCTGCATGTGTGTTTTCTGCGCTCGAGCGGGTTTCTTGCGCTCGAGCGGGATTGTTGGCGCTCGAGCGGGTAGTACCTCATTGGTGAAAGTTCTCGGAGATGAAAATCTATGCTCGAACGGACTGGTCTTTCGAGCTCGAGCGAGTGTCCTTTTTCTTTGTGTCTTGGCGCTCGAGCGGGCATTATTGCGCTCGAGCGTACCTAGTTTTCTGTTCTTGACGCTCGAGCGTCCTGTTATCCACTCGAGCGGGAATGTCGTATATCAATTAGCAGCTGGGCGTTTTAAAATTACTTCTTACTTTCTCTCTCTCTCTCTTACTTTCTAAAAAATGTTTTTGAGAGCTTCTCTCTCTAGGATCTCCCTTCTCTCTAGGGTTTGATCTAGTTAGAGTGTCTCACTATCCTTCGGCCTTTGTAAAAAGTGTGTTGATCGTCGAGGGCTCCATTTTGATCTGTGGATCTTTGAGTTTGGAGCATTTTGGTTTTCTTCAACTTCCCCGTTTAAGCTCTAACTTCGAGGTAGGGATATCCTACTCCTCTTTATGAGCTTTGTCTTTAAATTTTAGCATTTTGACATGTTTGGGGTTGTTGGGTAATTTTGAAGAAGTTTGGGTCTTTGTGTAATTTTACAAAAGATGGGGTTTTATTTATAATTAAACTTATATGCATGCTTGGCATGGAGAAATGATATTGATGATGAGCTATAGATGAAAGTGGAACCTTAGGGTTGTTATGTTAATTATGAGAAAATGCCCCAATTAGTTGGATTAATTAATTTGTATAATTAATTTTGAGAAATGAAGAATTGAATTGAGAGTATTCAAATTGAAAAGATTATGGGATTAACGGGTGTGGTTGGATTCATTTAATCACTCACCCAGGTTGAATGTTGATGATATATCCATTTGGTGCATTTATTTTCGGTTTAGAAATAACTGCTTTGGGCTATCGGTAGAGGATAGTCTTGATTGTTGTAGACAATGCATGATGATTAGGCAAACTAAAACTAATCAATTAAGTAAGCCATTGAATATGGTGGTCAGTACAATACAGCACTAAAATGTGTATTGATTGATTGAATTCGTATATGATAATTGTTTCTATACATTGTATTGTGTGGAAAGAGATGGGGGATGTACTCCACGGTTTATTGGAAGATGGGGGATGGACCTCTAAACCGGATTTCGTGTGACATTGATACAGCACTACAATGTGTATCAAGTGTTGATTTTGGAAGTGTTTAAATTGATTTGATATAACACTAAAATGTATATCGTTATCAATTGTGAAGTATAAAAGTGTTTCTATGTTATGTTGATACAGCACCAAAATGTGTATCGTTCGTATAGTATGGAAGTGGTTTATGTGTTATTGATACAGCATTAAAATGTGTATCCATCATGAATTTCGAAAGTATTTTTAAGATGAGTCTTATTCTCATTAAGTTATTTGACTAAGTGTTGAGCCTTGTTTTCAAACTCATGGTTGAAAAAGAAATGAGAAATGAAGTGTAACATGGACTTAAATGTCATGAAACTAAAATGTGATATAAGTGAGTGTATCGGTGTTGACCATCTATCAACTGCTAATCTTTTAGTCATTGTTCATAGCTGGTTTAGTGTATTTCTGCTGGGCTGTGGCTCACCCTTTATGGGACATTATTTTCAAGTACAGGTAGCATGCCACCTTCAAGGACATAGCTTGGGAGGCTAGAGGCAGACAGATTGCTTTTGTTGTTTGCTTTCTTTTGATGTATTACATGTAAATTCAAGCCAAGGGCTTTATATGTATTGAGTTAGTACTCTTTTTTTTGTAACCAAGTGTTAACTTGGAAAGCTGTAAGCCCGTAGGACACTTGCTTTTGTTGTTAACATGTAATACTTTTGTAAGAACTACTCTGATTAATGGAAAGATGGTTGATTTCTTTTATGTCAATGCATGTCTAAAGTGACGGGTTTTACGTATTATTTTAAGGGCATGACAGAAATTTCGTCCGCAAGAAACCATAAATCGGCACCCATGTAAACGTAGGGTATACAAGCACTACTATTACCATTTTACAAAAATTTCGTCCGTGAGATCGGCACCCATGTAAACATAGGCTATACAAGCACTACTATTACCATTTCACGAAAAATTCGTCCGCGGGATCGGCACCCATGTATACACTCGGTTTTTAGGACTTTCACCATGGACACATAGGCCAATTTAATTTGAAGTAACCACGTCTCTTTCCCAAATTCACCAAAGTATTCACCCACTTTTCTCAAAACAATTCATTTCCAATGATTAAGTATGCAACAATGTTCCATGCAATGTGTATGAGAAATTAGTTTCCATTCACCTAATCCTCGTACAATTTTTACAATAATCAATACTATCCTCCACCGATAGCCAAAACAGTTATCTCTAATGCATTAATTAAAAGATAACAACATAGATAAACAATCCAACATACAACCATAACTTGGAATCCCCCATGATTCCCAACACTTGGAAACAATCCATATTCCACATTTTAAAGATAAATTTTCAAGACTAATATAATTTTCAATCAAACTCAACATTTCGAAGGAGTAACCAATACCCGATATTCCAAAAGTTTCGTAAGTGTTTTCCAATCAAATCCATAGTTTTAAAACCAAACATAATCTTTTCCTAATAATCCAACAACTTCCAAAACATTAACATTTAGGATTTTTCACAAATTTGGGCTTTTTCACTTTCAAATACACACATGCAATTTTATATATAGAAAATACAGTAAATAGCAAGATTATAGGTAATCAACTCTCAATTTAACCAAACCATCAATTTACAAATCAAGTATCTTATATATGAATTTGAGGTACAAAAATAACATATTAACATACTCCAACTATTAAAACTAATAATCAATTTCCCAATTATTTTGACTTACACAAAACTCTCAATCAACTTTGTTCCACCTCAACCTAAATAACCAATATGATTTTCACCAAATCTCATACTTATTGAATATTACTATTTCCATCCTACTCTATTAAAAATTATGGTATAATCTCAATAACACAATTTTAATCATAAAGGATATAAACTTTTAACCAAACTAATTTCATTCACTAAATTAGTAAGTTTATAATATTCATATTTTTCCAAAAGAAATAATACCAAACATAAATTAACATGTCTCATCCTTCAAATATAACCATATGTCATACCAAGCTACTTAAATAGTTAATTTTCCCAAATTCTTTACAAATAACAATTTCACAACTTTTCTAAAATTAGCTAATTAACATGATATTTATTACATCAAAAATCTTGAAATATGCCCAAGAGTACACTTTTTAAAGTTGGAAGTTCAAAAATCTTCATTTCATACTTTCATTTTCACAAAAATGAACACAACTTAATCATCAACAAATCATCTTTCATAAAATATCATGAATATAACACTCTCTATATGTTTAGTGTAGTTATATATATAGTTGTACTTCCTGTGTTTGGGGAATAATAAAATGGGAACATGAAACTTAGCCAGAGCCTACGTGATTTAGAGATTAACAAATAACTTGCATTTTGTTTGTTAGGTACAAATTCATAAATAAGAAGACAATCTGGACCTTCTGAACCTTCAATGGTACAACCCAAAAATCTTACAAGGTTCTTGTGTTTAATTCCATTGATCAAATTTACCTCATTGAAGAAGTCATCGACTCATTGTTGCAAATCAAATGTATCTCAATGTTACATTATATTTTTGAGCTATTAAATATATTCTGGCATTAGTAATAGTAATATATGGTATTCTTGCAATCTTTTGACATCTTCTGTTATCCGTGTTATTTTATCATCAAGGATCACCTCAACTCTTTAAAGTTTTGGATTGTTATATGCATTTCTACTAAATTGGTTTATAAAATAAAATTATTTATATATGAGTTTAGATGTAATTCATAATATATTAATGTTTGTCGCAAATCAAATGTATCTCAATGTTACATTATATTTTTGAGCTATTAAATAAATAAAATTATTTATATATGAGTTTAGATGTAATTCATAATATATTAATGTTTTCCTTATTTATTTTCTTTGCAGATTGGTTTTTGATGACGTTTGGAAGCATACTTGCAAATCAAGATCAATTGTTGAATTTTTTTTCCTGAACTGGTACATAGTTTTAGTTTTAAACCTAGTCAAGTGTTATTTATTTATTTTTATTTTTTTGTGGACTTCACATTAGTTCATTTTGGAATTTGCTATGATGGTTTTTTTTATTATACTTAATGGATTAATATTAAATTTGTTTGATGGATATATTTTCATTTATAATATAAATTGTTTACTGAATTTTTGTGTGCAGCGGTGTGGTGGATTTCTTGGTACATTTAAAAGGCTATTGGGATAGGAGCAGGGATATTTGTGAAATAATAATTTAAATTGAAATATCAAATATGGAACAAGTATAGTGACGAATTTGTTTCGTCATTTGTACTTGTTATTATGACAAAGTGATTATTCGTCGCTAATAAACAATTTTTGTGACAATTTATTGCATCCTATATATGAAAGTTTTCATTGATTTTGTTGTTTGGTGACTAAAAATTGTCACATATATATATTTTTGCCATGAAATATATTTCGTCACCCATGTATGACTTTTACAGACGAAAAATGTCGTCAACTTTACATCTTACTGTGATGAAATTATTTCCTCATCAATGATCAACATGTGTGACAAATTTATTCGTCAACCAAAGTTATAAATATGATACTGAATAATTATTTGGTGACAAAAATGAGGATTTTTGGTGACAAAATGTTGTTTTATTGGTGACAAAAAATTCATCACTAAAGTAATTTCATTGGTGATGAAATTATTTTTCCTCACGACGGTTTTTAGTGACAATCATTCAATGACGCAATCGGTGAGGAAATACTCCCTCACAAATATCTGTAGTGACGAAATTAGCTCTTTGGAGACAAAACAAATTTGTCATTCAAGACCCAACTTGTTGTAAGTTGCTCAGTTACCGAAAGTCCCAACATTTTGATTTTGAAAGACGAGCTCGAACATTAAAAAAATGATTGGATTCACTTGTGGCTAAAGAAAACATTTTGGAAAAAGTCTTTTTTAAAGGTCTGAAAACATTTGGCCAAAATGGGTGGAAAGGTTGGGATCGACTTTTGAATAAAGCTAATTTCACGATGGAATGAAATAGCCATTCTTAGGTTGGAAAAAGGAATGGACATTTCCACATTTTGTTTAAATAGCTATTCCAATGGAATGACTATTCCCGCTTAAATAAGCCATACCAAATAAAGGAAAGGAAATGAAAAGCTAGAATGAACATTTCATTTCAATCCATTCCATCGTACCAAACATGCTCTCACATTTACCAAGATAAAAATAATAATAATGTTCTCAAAATAATAATAATAATTACACTGAGAGATGCCTAGCCAAACAGCTCTTTATTTTCTTGTGAGATTGAGAAAGCACAACACACAAATATCAATACAAAAAAAGACAAAGGGAGGGAAATATTTTCAGTTCAAAACCTCCTTCCTTCCCAAGGGGGTAGAAACAAATCACGTTACAAAAGAATACTTCACTTCAACAAATTGACTTTTTCAAGACTGTAAATCGATACTGCAAAATGTAAATCATCTCCGGAAGACAATCTATATACGCTGGTATAAACAAACTCAAAAACAATAAAGAATTATATCATGTTACTAAAAACTTTGTGTAGCTGAGTTACGAGAACCTCTCAGTATTGGGCCCTTACTTGTTAGACCACTGGAATTCTATTTCCAGATTCCGTGGCCCACTTTTGCTTTCGGGTAGCAGAGTGTATTCCCCAGCAACAGACCCGAGCATCACCACACGGTCAATCTGGATCGTTACTTTTCCGAATGAGCTCTGCCAATTAGATGACAAAGAAAATAATGAATTAAATAAAAACCTACACCAGAAAATATGATAAGTGCCTTTAAATCCCCTTTGTATTCACTTAGCTGGTGTGGTTGATTTACCTTCCCCATTTTGCTCTTATTCTTGCATGAGATGTTAAGCTTCTGGCCTTTTGGTGGACTTTCAAATGACCACGCAAAGCTCTCATCCCACTCTGGATTAGGACCAGTTGACACCACCTGATTGCCAAATCAACAGAAAGCATTTGTTACACCAGGTTTAAATTTAAGGCAGTGAAAGAGAAACGGGTAGAGAATACCTATACATTCTTCAGAGAGACATACGTGAAAAATAAAATAATGAGAAAAAAAAACTTTATTTTCCCCGGAAAAGAAGAAAAATAAATTTTCCTCCACCATTGAATTGCAAAAACGAGGAATCAATAAACTGAGCAGAAAATCCAAAAACATTATTCCTCGTAAGATATATCTGAAACCAATATCCCACTATGATCACTTTGGACCATTCATGCTGAAAGCAAATAACTCAGTATTCAAAGACTGATCCTTGCATTAGCTGCAATACAGCCTCCATTTGCTCTCAAATACAAGTGCAGTAGGTTACTTGTGCATAATATACACATTAGATTAAGTGTCTTATAGCTTAAATATGGACATATGTCCTCTGCAATCACTTTTTTGTCATTCTCTTATTTATATTGTTAATTTATTTAGTAGTACTATTGTGATGGCCAAATTTGCTTATCAAATGATGTGTCATCACTACATTGGTGGAATGAACCCCTCCTTCCTTGCATTGGTACAATGCATAGATGACATGTAAGGTGCCACATCATTTGGTAATTTAATGCAAATATTTGTGTGAGAATATTATGCATATATGTATATATGGTAGTATAGTGATATTGTGATTCGTTTCCTATTTAGTCTTAGGGTTAGGAATACTATATAATCAGATGTATCCTTTGTATTTTTTTATCAATTGAATATACAGTTTCATTCAGAAAACTTACATGGTATCAGAGCCGTGTCTGAAACCTAGTTCTCACCTCTGATTGTTCGAAGTTCTCCCTTCGATTTGAAGGTTCCCTCTAGTTCAAAATCATCTCTGGTTTTGATCTCTGGATTCGATCGAGTTCGAGTTGTCAGTTCACCCTCTACCTTGTCAGGTTCTTTACAACTCTTCTTATTCAAGTCTTGTGTGTGACCATTGGAATCAAGCTTTCTAGGCCGAAATCGCGACGTTATCCATTGGCGAGCCTCGTGGTTTGGGTTCGTCTTGTTCAAGTTCGTCTGGTTTGTGGTTGCCTTCTAGTTCATCTCTTGCAACTTACCTACAGTTAGTCACCTAGTTCTCACGACTCACCTGGTGTTTCGTAAATCATCTGAAGGTTGACTCTCCCTCTGGACCTCGTGTGACTTAGTCTCTTTCTGGTTCTGGTTCACCTCACGACATCGCTCTCTCGCTGGTTCTGGTTTTGGGTTGGTGCTTCTAGTTTTGTCCATCTGACTTGGGAATATTTGTGGGTCTTTGGCTCAAGATTCTAGTTATTATAATTTGACCCCAAAAATTCTATAAACTTTGGTTCATTTCGATGTCAGACACCCATCAACTTCAGTCTTTTACAAATCCCCCAGAAAGGTCCACTGGCTTCTGATGAGTGTGCCTTCTACCATCAGAGGGGCCATTGGAAGTACCACTGTCCCAAGAAGGGACGTCTGCCTGCCTCATCTTTTCAGCAATCTTAGAACCTATTACGGGCTCCTCTTGCTGCGTACACTGCATCTACTCCGGCTCCTAATCCTGACTTGGCTTCCTTGACCGCTCAAATTAGTCAGTTTCAGCATATATTGTCTACCTCCCAGCCATTCCCGTTTGCCTCCATTGTTTCCTCTCTTCATTTAGGTTTGCTTGGGTCTTCTTCAGGTATTTCTTCGTCTATCTAGATTTTTTACTCTAGTATCTCTCATCATATGACTCCACATCTCTCTTTACTTCAAAATTGTACTCCTCCCCCCTTTCCTATTATTGTCAATGCTGCTAATGGGTCTAGTATGTCTGTTGTATCTGTTGGGTCTGCTGTCTCTATTCCATCTGTCCTTTATATTCCTCAGTTATCTGTCAGTTTATTATCTATCAATCAGCTTGATACCTCTGGTTTTGATGTTATCTTTTCTTCTTCTATCTATTCTGTGCAGGATCGGATATCTAAGCAACAGATTGGGACTGGTCGTAAAGTTGGAGGCCTCTATGTGGTGGAGAGTTTGCATCTGCCTATGGCAACCTCTCTGACTGCCCTTTCCTCTTTTCAGTTAGATTCTCTGTCTAGTCCTCCCTACTTGTGGCATTCTAGATTAGGGCGTTTGTCTGTTGATCTCTTACGGTCTTTAGCTCAATCTGATATATTAGGTAAAGTTTCTCCTAGTGAACTTACTGAATGTCGGGGGTGTAAACTTGCCAAAATGACAGCCTTACCTTTTCATAAAAATACTTCTATATCTGATACATCATTTTTTTTAGTTCATACTGATGTTTGGGGCCCTTCTCCTGTTCTCTCCAAAAAGGGTTCTTGTGTCATTTGTTGAAAACTACACTCGTTACACTTGAGTTTATCTTATGACTCATAAGTCTGACTTCTACCAGATACACCGTACTTTCCAGTCTATGGTCACCACACAGTTTGGGTCTACTATTAAATTGTTGCAGTCTGACTTGGGCGAGGAATACTTTAAAACTGAATTCTGTAAATATTTAGCCAAATTGGGTACCATTCACCAAACTTCTTGTACTGATACACTTGCCCAAAATGATTGAACTGAGCGTAAACACCGTCATCTCCTTAAGACAGCTAGGTCTCTCATTCTCTCTGCTTCCGTTCCGGCTCCGTTTTGGGGTGAGGCAGTTCTTACTGCTGCTTTTCTTCTCGACCGTCTACCTACCCCCCTTTCTTTCTGGCCGGTCTCCTTATGAGGCTATGTTTTCTCAACTTCCCAATTACTTCCTCCTTCGTGTGTTTGGGTTTGCTTGTTTTGTCCTTTTACCCTGTAAAGATAGGACCAAACTTAGTGCCCAGTCAATCTTATGTGTCTTTTTGGATTATAGTCTCACTCAGAAAGGTTATCGCTGTTATAACCCTGTTTCCCATCACCTTTATGTCTCCTACCATATTGCATTTCTCGAACGTCTACCTTACTTTCAGCTTCCTCTTCTCACCGCCCCAGTTTTCAAAGAGGATTTGGTTCATATTGATCTGTTTCCTTCTGAGGTCCCATTTGATGAGTATATCTCCACAGGTCCCCCTGAGCTTGTTCCATCTTCTCCTCCTACTTCATCTCTAACTGTTTCTCCTTCGGTTTCTTCTCCTCCTCCGTTG